ACATTAGTTAATTGTACTCGCTCAGTAAGATATTCACAAATCATTTCTCCTATGTAAACGACATTAAGAAATAATTTGAAAAAAAGGAATATCCGCCATTTTGAATCGCCATTTTGACTTTTAACTTACAGCTGCACCATTATTCAATTGTAGAATAGTGAGATGTAGAGGAAAAAATACAAATTTGCAGTGTATGGATATTTGCAAATGTAAAATCCTGAACAAGAAGAATAAAGAGACAATAGACAAATAAATCAGAGAAAATTCGAATTAAGTGTAAAAACGGCTAAATTTTCTGAGTAAAACTAATAATGTTAGCATTCTATTATCATTTTTATACTTGTATTACACTCAGTAAGATATTCACACATTATTTCTTCTTTTTTAACGATATTGAGAGAAAATTAGAAAAATTGGATGTCCACCATTTTGAATCGCCATTTTGACCTCTTTAACGCCATTTTCATGAAGGCCAGCATATTTTTTCGGATTCAGCATACTCGAATTAGGCTAAAAAACTATGCTGGACCAAATAAGAATTATTTGCCATCAGAAGTATTTTTTTCTAAAAATCAGACCAGACTATACTGTGAATACAATTTTCTGAAGCAAAGTATTTGATAAATATAGACATAATATTACACATAAAATATATGGTCTTGATCACAGAATCATTTCTCCACCACATTTTACCATGCTTTTTTTGACACACATTTAAAAAAAAAAATAAAACAACCCATCCTATGACCTGGATTTATTTATTTTTTTTTCTTAGGTACACAGTCTTTTACTTTCCAGGAAGAATGATACCATCATACTGAAAAAGAAAAAAATTAAAATTAATACCCCCCAAAAAATGTCATGTTTTGTCAGGTTCCACGCAGTAAATATATAAACGAGGTTCAACCAGATGCCATTGGGAAAAGTCAGGCTAGGCATGCGCGAGAATGCTAGAGAGTTCACTCTTTAGACAACATGCCCGTAGAATAATTCGCTCTTTTCGAATTAGAATATGCCATTCATTGGCAAATCTTTCTTTAAAATCTGCATATCATATTTATATATTCATTGGCAGATGCCAATTTCTTTATTATACATAATTATATTTTATGTATAAACTAAACATTGATTCTATGGCGCAAGCTTTTTAAGGAAGAACTTGCAATATATAGATACATGTAACTTAAGAACTTGAATTATAAACTTCATTCAAGGACTAGTTCTAGGTTTTAAAAGGACAAGTCTTCACCGGTATTAGTTTTGTGCATGAAGGCTTGTAATATAATTTGATATACAGCAATCCAAGACATCCTTGATACAAGCCTGTAGCAACAGTTTTCCATGTGGGGGAGGGGGGTCTCCAAAAAATAGCATAGTACAGAGCTGTGCTACACAAGTGTCATTAGATCTATTTTTCTAATGATAAATTTCTTCAATACAAATCCAGAACAGATGTCAAGTCACAGCCATTTTGGGTGGGTTACATTATCAACATAGTCTGATTTTTTAAAATGACAAAACTATAGGTCAATCAGAAATAAAATTTAACAATTTTAAAAATATTATCAGTCAAAGTAGGCAGATCATTGTAGAAAATGTAAACGAATCTACCTGAATATTCAATAAACTTAGAAATTGTTTTTAATAGAATTTCATTTAGAAATGAGTGCATATGGTCCATGTAATGCAGTCCAGGAAGCAACTTGTTTCTATCATTGTTGACACAACTTATAAACCTCCTCTTTTTTGTTTTAGTGATAACCTTGAAAACAATTAACAGAAAATGCGGATTTGAATTTTCAGGTCTGATCTTTTTTCTGAACTAACACTAGCCAAAATTGTATACCCTCCACATTAAATTATTTTAAGTAAAATGATCATTTTTATTGTACATTGATTACATGAATATGACATTTAGTATATTTTAGCTTAGATTATTTGTATCATTTAACAATTAACGAACTCAGTTATGTATTTGATCTGTTGTAATTCATGTAGTAAGACATTGAAGCCATTTATATGCATTTTATTTCTTATTAATTAAACTTTAATACTGACTTCTATTATTATCTATTCTCATTATCGATCATGCCAAAATATATATGTAAGAGAATAAGAATTAGTCTAATCCAGCTGTTGTGTCCTGCCTAATACTGCAAAATGAGAAAAGGATCACTTTTATACCCCCCGCTTGAAAAGCGGGGAGGGTATATAGTAATCGTTAATTTCGTCCGTCTGTCCGTCCGTCCGTCCGTCTGTTACGCTTTGGGGTACCCATCTCTTATCCGCAACTCCTCTTATACTACTGAGTGAAATTTAATGAGACTTTCACAGAATCTTTATTACATATTGCCATTGTGCACCTCCTATTCTACTTTTTTATTCGACACTTATTTTAGGTTTCCCATGGCAAAACATGGACATTGCCATTATATTCTATATTTATATCCTATCACGTCACCTATAGAAGCTTCTGGATAACATTTGATAAGACGAGTTATTCCTCTTTACACATTAAACACGCATAAAACAATAGCAAAACATCGAAATTATGGGAGGCGGGGGGTATCATTTAGTGAGCTCATTGCTCACAGTACCTCTAGTTATAGATAGGGATCTGACCTATAGGACTGGGCTTGGTTTTATTCTCTTCAAAAAGCTTGTGGATTTCCGTTCTGATTTCCGTTCTGATTAATGACATAAGGCTAAATACATATAACAATTTGTTTTCCTAAATCTTTATTTCAATGAGTAGAGGTAGGAGGAAGCCTTTCATTGATTTTCTAAGTTTGTTATCTCCAAATGTAATGATTGATATTTTTCTTTACTTCTCATTGTGCATAATGGTAATGTCGACTGTAGCTCTACTTGTTTGAACTTATAATAAAGGAAGAGAAAAGTAGCAGTTGGGACATAAAACTTTACAAAACCAATAAACAGAATAATGATCCTTGATTAAGTCTCTTTTTGTAGCAAGATTGCAAAAGGACTACAACTGTAGGAGTAGCTTTTAATAAAATTTTACAGCATTTTCAATTTTAGTTACCATGGCAACATCGTTCATCAAAAACACAAAACTAATAATTATGTATCTCAGTGTAGTCTACTTGCATGCCAAATTATATTATAATCAGACTACAACTGTATTTGGAGTGGCATTTTGAAAGTATTTTACAGAAATTTCTATTTTATGTAACCAAGGCAACACGTTCATCGAAATTGAAAACTGATAAACAGAATGATGTATCTTAGTGTAGTCTACTTGTATGCCAAGTTATATTGAAATCAGAACAAATCTGTAGGAGGAGTAGCATTTGAAAATTCACATAAATGTCTATTTTAGTAACCATGGCAACACTATTCATCGAAATCTAGAAACCAACTACAGAATTATGTATCCTAGTTAAATCTACTTGTGTGCCAAATTATGCTGAAATCAAACCAAAACTGTAAGAGGGGTAGCATTTTAAAACTATTTCACAAAAAATTTCTATTTTTAGTAAGCACAGCAACACCGTTCATTGAAATCAAAAACCAATTATTAGAATTATGTATCCTAGTGTAGTCTACTTGTGTGCTAAGTTATATTGAAATCAGACCAAAACTATAGGAGGAGTAGCATTTTGAAAATTGTTTACAGACAGACAGACGACAGATCATTACTATCGCACAAGCTCTTCTGGTCTCTGACCAGTCGAGCTAAAAACTCTCTTTATTGAACTTCAAAATTATTTTTCATTCCAAATCTCCTAACATTTGTATTTTTTTCTGTTTGCAAATTTCTCCTAAATGTTTTATACCTTCTGCTGAAACCATTTCATGGCTTCCTCTTTTGAAATCTTGTGCTGTGGACCTATCTTACTTTTTCTCTGTCGTCTGTATGCAATGTTGAAACCTGTAAAACAGTATATTTTACATCATTATTCATTGCTACCACGTTGATCTATATGCAAATTAAATTTTGCAAACAATTACCAATTATCAAATCTGAATGATGTCAAAATTGTATTTTAAATCCCCTTTCCAACCAAAAACTTCAAAAGCCTGGAGAGCTTCAAAGACATCATATTTTAAGATAAAACAAGATGTGTTTGTGAAACACTGCTGCCCCTGTATGGCAGCTTAAGGCCAGGGTTGAATTTTCTCAAATTCATACATGTCAAACTCCAAAATTCAAGGTCAAAATTGCTAGTACCTAAAGGAAGATCTCGTTACAAGGAATACACCTGTGAAATTTGAAAGCCCTTCTTCTAACTGTTCAAAAGTTATGGCCAAGGTTAAATTTTTTAAAAAGGGTCAAACAGTAAGGTCAAAGATATTTATTCCCACTGAAAGGTCTTGTCACAATGAATACACTTGTGAAGTATCATGTGCACGAACAGTTCAAAAGTTATGACCAAGATAAAAGAGATAATTTTTTGTAAAAGGGCCCAGCTCTAAGGTCAAGAGGTCAAATTTGGTGGTACCCAATGAAGGTCTTGTCACAAGGAATATACCTGTGAAATACGAAAGCCATAGTGCCACCTACTCAAAAGTTTTGAGCAAGGTTAAAGTTTCTGCTGACAAAAAGAAAGACAGAGGAACAAACAGATGGACAGACAGAAAGGGCAAAAACTATTAATCCCTTACATGGCTTTTTTCCCTACAAGTTTCAACTTTAATTTTGGCCCTACCCTACCCCCAATTATTCATGATTTAAACAAATTTGAATCTACACAATCATGGCTTGTTGTTCATGAGCAGATTTTTCCTACATATTCCTCTATAAAATTTTTATTGTCCATTGTGGCCCCACTATACCCCCAGGGGTCATGATTTGAACAAATTTGAATCTACACTACCATATAAATATGACCAATCATGGCTTTGTAGTTCTTGAGAAGATTTTTGAAGTTTTTCCCTGTATATTCTATGTAAAAATTTATAGTTCATTGTGGCCTCACCCTACCCCTGGGGGTCATGATTTGATCAAACTTGAATCTACATTACCAGAGAATGCTTAAAAAAAATTGACCAATCATGGCTTTGCTGTTCTAGGGGAGAAGATTTTATCTATATTCCTATATAAAACTTTGATCGTACATTGGGGCTCCATCCTACCCCCGGGGGTCATGATTTAACTTGAATCTACACTACCAGAGGATGCTTCCATAAAAATATGACTGATCATAGCTTTTCTGTTCTTGAGGTGAAGATTTTTAAACAATTTTCCTACATATTCCTATGTAAAATTTCAATCGTCCATTGTGGCCTCACCCTACCCACAAAGGTCAAGATTTAAACAAACTTGAAACTGCACTACCTGAGCATGCACCCTTATAAGTATATCAAATCAAGGCTTTAATGTTGTTGAGAAAGTTTATTATTGATATTTCCATGCTTTGAAATTTAAAAGTTTGATTGCTCATTGTCCCCCATCCTACCCCTGGGGGCACCGGTCATGATTTGAGCAAACTTGATTCTACTTTACCTAGGTATGCCTTCATTTAAAATGTAAATATTAGGAATGTTTTTAAGTTTAGTGTGAATTATTGGTGTGTTAAATCACACAGACTTGCACGTAGGCATATTTTTCATGAAGCATTAGCACGCTTCATGAAATATGCCTATGTGACAAGTCTGTGTGATTTTCACACCAATAACTCACACAAAACTTAAAACATTCCTTCTATTTACATTTTTAAAACATGTTTGAAACCATCAACAAGAGGCCCACGGGCCTTATAGGTCACCTGAGCATTATGCAACAACTTTCCAGTTACAGTGCAGGGTTCGACACTAACGCTAGCCCGCTGGCCCGGGACAACTGAATATTGAAGTTGGGCTACCAAACATGTCTTTAAACTTGCCCTGCAGGGCTACAGTAAATTTTACCAATTACTCACTAAGAGCACGAAAAATTACTATAATTTACATACAATATACCTGATAATTGTTAAATTTATTTTCAAATATGTTTTATCAACATAATTATAATTTTTTAAGTCAAAAATGTAAACTTTAAAGGTGATTCAAAATACCCTAAATGATATAAATATAGAAATTTTCGAACAGTAAAAATGTCTTAGGTACAACCATAGAGTGACATATAATACCACCCAAAATTCAGCCAGAATGCAAGATTTCGCATCTCTATTTTCAAAATTTTCCTGGGGAGGCCCCTGTACCCCACAGCAGGAGGGGGAAACCCCCTCCGCACATACACCCCTCGTCGCTTCGCGACTCGGCCAGCAGCCTTTGGCTGCTGGACAACTAATAGATGAACAGGGCTAGTAAAAATTAGAAATTACTAGCCCTGCTGACAACTATGGTTTTAAAGTTAGTGTCGATCCCTGCAGTGTATTGAATTTGATTCATGTTTTAAGCCAGATGCTATATGGCATTCACAATTTTGAAAGAGGCACCATTGATCATCATAACAATACACTTAGCAGTTGCTTAGCTTGGTTACTGAATACCCATACGCAGGGTAGGGGAACATAAATGCACTCCAACAAATCAGTAATATTCAGCAATAATCAGTAGTGCCCCTAACACTGTGACATAAACCCCTGACCTTAGGTCCACACATTGCACAAATTTTTAAAAGGCACCCTTAAAATTGCCTATCAAAAAATAAATAAATGTTTTATAAATACAAAGGAGCAGATTTCAAATAATTAATTCATTTTCAGTATATAAGCAGGACCCCCCCCACCCCACCCCTGACCCTGGGGCCTTGAAATTCACAATTCTGCAAGATTAGGGCCCTTGCTCATCATCACTATATAGGTAGTTCATCTGCTTTATATCCAGAGTCAGAAAAGGAAATTTTCAAAGACTTAATGTATTTTCACTATATAATCAATAGAGCCCCACCCTAACATCAGAACCCCAGACCCTGGGGTCATAAAATTCATAATTTTTAGAAGAGGCATTCTTGCTCATCATAACTATGTACTTAGTTAGTTTATTTAATTCCTAGGAGCAGAGGAGAAGATTTTCAACGAATTCATGTATTTTCACTATTTATAATCAATAGAGCCCCCCCACCCCCAAACACCAGAGTCCTTGACCCTGGCGCCATAAAATTCACAATTTTGGTTGAGGCACTCTTGCTCATCATAACTATGTACTTAGTTAGTTTATTTAATACCTAGGAGCAGAGAAGAAGATTTTCAAAGAATTCATGTATTTTCACTATATAATCAATAGAGCCCCACCCCAACACTAGAACCATTGACCCTGGGGCCATAAAATTCACAATTTTGGTAGAGGCACTCTTGTTCATCATAACTATGTATTAGTTAGTTTATTTAATACCTAGGAGCAGAGAAGAAGATTTTCAAAGAATTCATGTATTTTCACTATTTATAATCAATAGAGCCCCACCCTAACATCAGAACCCCTGACCCTGGGGCCATAAAATTCACAATTTTGGTAGAGGCACTCTTGCTCATCATAACTATGTACTTAGTTAGTTTATTTAATACAGTGGCTGGAACGTTATTGTTGACAAACCAATCGTGTAGAATCGTTCGTGTATCGTGAGTGATCGTTCGTGTAACGTGCAAGATCGTTCGTGTATCAGACTCAATCGTGTGCGTTTTTAATCGTACGAGATCGTGCGTTTAGAATCGTGTAAATTTCGTTTTGTAAGTTTTTATCGTAATGTTATTTGTAAAATAAGCATTTTCCTTTTTTTTGTTTTTATTAATTTATTGATTAAAATCCAAATAATATGAAAAAGCGCAATTTACATAAAAGAATGCAGAACGAACTAATTATCGCCCATAAACAAGCAATATAGTAAGTCGTACAATATTAAGTTCTCGTCAAATAGCGCGATAAATATTGTGATAAACCGTACTTAGATCTTTAACGCCTTTTTGAAAAATCTGATTTTAATTATTATTTACTTCTTATTGTGGTCAAGATAATCTTGAAATCAATTCATTGAAAGTAAATATATATATATTTTTTTTTTTACTAAGAAATAAACATTTCTCAATGCTTACATAACTAGTTAGTCGACAAATATACATGGACAAGGCATGATTTTCGGGAGTTTTGATTATCTGTGTTTATCTCTTGAGCCTATTTGTAATTAATTAATTTTAAATTTCTGCAAATAAAAAAGTTGAATAATTGGCAAATTTATCAGACATTGAATCATTGGAAACATAAGGATAATTATAATTTAAGTCATTCCATGCTGCCATTTTTGTTCAATTGTATCCCCCTTTCTGCATATCATGATATCCAATTCAATCAAATTATACGACCCACATACATGTACATCGTATAATAGAACGAACAAAATCCGTTTTTTTTTTATCGGAGAATTACCTTAGAAATAATTATTTTTAATCTAACATATTAAGTCTTGCATATATTTAGTTACAGAAATAACATTTTCCGTTTTTTTCTTCAAAGTCTATGAAACTAGTGCTGATTGTAACGGGGACCGTTACAAGATGTTTCCCCAAACGCTCCCCAACTCCCTTTTGGTGCCATATTCCCTGTAAACTTCATTAAATAAGACAAACTCGATGCATTTGAGACTTTACCAACGTTTACCCAGAAGTGTACCAAGTTCATTCAAATTTTAGCATCGAACGCGTGCGCATGTGAATGCATGTGCGTTATGACCATATCATCTTGCCTATACAATCTATATATTTAAATATGCTAAATATTAAAGTATTTAATCCAAAAGTATTAAAAAATATGCTCATTCAAGTGTATTTTTGATTTTACTCATTTCACGTGCACGCACGTGCATACATGAGCATGGTAACCATACCTTCTTGTAAAAGTCCATTACATCTATCTATGTTCTAAATCCCACCCCGTTTGGTTGAAAACCAAGGGACTTATAGCTGTTTAAAGTTTCAGCCAATCAGATTGCAGCGCACGTACATGCATGTGTATGTATGTGCATGGTGACCATACCTTCTTGTAGAAGTCCATTATATCTAT